AGGATCAAGTAAAACACAACCATTGGACAATGCTTTGTGTTTCAAGTGATATCACAGTTGCTGCATAACTCATCATCTGTTCCACATTTAGTTTTGTTGCTGAAAGTTTCCATCTTAGGCTCCCATTTTGCCAAAGTTTCCCTGTTGATATTTTTATCATGGTGAAATGTACACATCAGCAGTAGCAGTTTGCTTTTCTTTGCTATATAGGAGGCCAGTGTTTCTGAAATTCAAAGACTGAACTATACAATTCTCTGTTTTGAAATTGCAATACTTCATTGGTAATTTCTGCTTTGTTCCTGTGTACAGTTCCTGCACTGGTCAACTTGTGCTGTTGTCATATGTAACACCAGTTGGAAACGAGTAAACCAACTGTTCAATGTCACATTCTGTTTAGTTTGGGAGATGGGAACAACAAGTTTGTTCACAACATTATTCATTTTATTTGTATATGAATAAGGACCTGATAGCTGTGCTCCAGGATAAATGTCTAAATTGAAAGCATAATAAGTCTTTGCATCTACAAGGGCATACATTTTTTGGCCATATTTTGACCCATCAGTTTTCCATACATCATTTACATTCTTGTGATTATCATAAGAAATCCTTGCTAAATACAGCAGACCCACAAACAGTTGTTCTATCTAGTGAGGTGTCATAATAAACATATATTTGAATATGGAATTTGGTGCATACAGAAAGCTTTACTTGCATTTCAGCCACTATGTATTTCATAGCATCTTGTGGTATTTTCTCTATTACAATTTCCAACACTGAATGGCAGTGCTGGCATTCTGCCCAATATGTTCCACCCCTGCCAAAGCCTTCACTATATTTTTGGACCTAGTTCTAACACTGGATCATTTTATTTGGTTGTGTGACCATTATGTAACATTTCAACTAGTTAAATACATACTCTCGTAACTAATTTCTTCATCATCTGAATCAAGGAGATCTGAATTCTCTGTGTATCAGTCAATTCTTGTCCCATTTCACATAAAGTTAGTCATATGGCCAATGTCAAAGTCATCATTATCCACTCACACACTCGTTATGAAAGCATGTATTTTACCATAATTGATCATCATCATCATCATCATCCATGCATGAGTAATAATGATTCACTTTTGACCTCCAAAATTTTGCAAATCTAGTTTTTCATGTCATTGTACTGAATTGGGTTACTTCTACCAGAAAAAATCAAAAGAAAACTTTTTTTTAAACAAATCCTGGAGTGTTGTGATTCTATTGGACCCTCTGCGATGGTCAGATAAACATATGCAAAAACTGTGCCACAGAGCATAAGGTTAGGTCCAAATCCTGTTTTGGCAGTTCTGTACACGTGCATACTACTTGACATTTATCACATCCAGTGGGTAAACATATATATTGCTTCCACTATCCTTCAGGGAAAGGTACTTAGACACACAGCTGTCTAGTATAACACTAAAGTACAAATTTACAGTACAAAATTAAGGGATGGGTCTGCTGGATCCAGGATTAACCCTCAAAAGTTTAAGTGAGCATTGGCCTTGGTGACTTTCTTCCAAGAATAGAATGTGGTGGGAACAGCTTATGGTCTGAGGGAGCTCATAAAACATACTTTCCCTTCCTCTTGCATACCTACCTCAGGAGAGTCCCATTGCCATGTGAAATCACTCACACAGCCTCATGGGAGTCCAGCCTTCATGGAAGGCTTCATGTCAGTTTGGAATGGATCTTCCAGCTGCAATCAAGCTTCCAGATAAATTTGTGGCTGGCTTGACATCCTAGAGACCTTAAGCCAAAGCTACCCATAAGCTATTCCCAATCTCCTGGTCAACAGAAGCCGTGAGATGCTGCTGGCAGTTTTAAGCCACTAAGTTTTGGGGTGACTTGTTATAATATGGGATGTCCACCAGCCTGTCTTACTAAATGATAGATTCAAAGTTACTCGAACAGCAAGTCCCAGCTACAGGATCCAGAGATGAGCTACATGGCCTGATCAACTCAAGGCTCAGTGGTATAACCGGAAATGCACATTCTTCCTATCTTCTGTCCTTAGTTCTCAGCCTCTGGCTTCTCCCCATATGGTCATAAGGCAATTGCATCAGTTACTAGCATTCCATCTGCACATGCAGAGACTTACCCTTAGTCTTCTGCAGACTGGGGAGCCTTCCCTAAAATCTCCAGGTTGCTTATGCTTCACTGCCCAGAGCTAGGGCACATGATCCTTTCTGAACTTCTGACCTTGGAGCCAGGATGATGTCAGACTCCTAGGATGGAACATGGCAGCCTGCCAAATGAGGGTTTTGCTCTTGGACTGGTGCATATCCCCTCTTCACCACCAGCTGTTGCTGCCCTCCCTTCCTTGATGGGGAGACCTTGGCTCTCTCCTCCCTAAGGGTGGCTTTGCCACTTATTTCCCCCTCCTCACTCTCATCTAAATGCAATGTGCAAACAGGACAACAGTTTCCAGTCTCTGTGGCCCCATGAGAATACAACAAGCAGCACAAAGAAGTGCCCAGTTATTGCTCACTGATCAGTGGAGATATGGGAGTTCAGATGAGGAACCCCTGAGTGGAGAAGTCACAGAACACTCCCTTGAAAAACAATGACAGCCCTCCAGGCAGAACAAGTAGGGTTAATATGCCACAGGAAGTGGTCAAATGTGTTTCAGACACACTTCTTTGTTGGGAGTACAAATGCCATGGAGACTGATACAGCCTGAACTACTCTCATTTTGCAACCCTCAAGCAACACCATCCCATGGCTGTGCTGTTCTTTTCATGAAGGTGTAATGTTTTTAGACTTTAAATAGCTACCTTGACCCTGGAACCCACCACTGTGCTAACTTATCAAGAACAGGATGCTTCTGTATCCCTTATCTCACTACCCTAGGGCTTCCTATCCATTCCCCACACTTCAGAAGCTAGGACCCCATTGTACGCATTGCTGGAGGGGAGCCCTGGAAAGCAGTGGGGATGCCCTTCAAATTGAGTGAGGAGGCATTTCTGCAACCTGGAGTAGCAGATGGGCCCACAGGGCTATAGGGTAATAGGGAAGGTGAATGCGAGATGCCATAACATCTTCTCTGGCTGAAGTACAACCAGTGCTGGCTCTCACACCAGGTTGTCTCTAAAATACCCCACAACTCTCATGTGTTTGGATAATATAGATATTCATCAATGAATCCATCGACAAGTTCACAGCCGAACGTGTTATTAGGTGGGGCTTGGTTGGAGTTGGGTCACTAGGGCATGAGGAGGGTGTGTTCTTGTTTATGGCTCCTGGATTTGGTCTTCCTGGCTGCCTTGACATGACCACCTTTCCTCTGCCAGGTCCTTCCATCAGGCCATTTCTGCCTTGCAGATAGCTAAGCTTGGGCTAAATCCCCTCAATTTGTAAGCCAAATAAGCCTCTACTACTTTAGATTGTGCCAGGTATTTTTTCTCTGCAATGGAAAACTAATACTTACCCATCTTGTAGGTATGAGCTGCTGCCTAGCTAACACCTGACAAACAGCTGATTTAGTTCTGGGGATGCGCCCAGTCCTGAACATGGATGTTGCCACAGGAAGCTGCTTGCTCTCCTGAGCTTGTTAGTATGAGTGTGTGTGTGGCACATTAAAAGCCCTGATGAGTCTGGATCCCAGGCTAGTACCACCTGCTGCTAGCGAACCCTACTTGTTCCCGGTTGTGAACAACCAGCAGCCAACAAGAACAAATTTGTCTTAATCATCAGGACCCTCAAAGCAAAGTGCAGGCCCTAACAAATTCCTCACGGTTATAGTGTGGCTGCCAGCCTGTCAAGGAGTCAGAATTATTTTCTGGAAGAGTTAGCACCATGGAGTGCTCAGGACAAAACATCCTAGAACGAGGCGTCAGACTGTGCAATCATTTCCTTTCTAGAACCTCAGCAAGGAGTATCCTTTGCTCAAACTGGGGAACTAAGGCCTAGTGGGGTCAAAGCGGCACAGCATCATGCCACCTGGACCAAATGTGACTAAAGCAGACCCTGCCCAAGCACGCACAAGGTTAAGAGGAGAGGCTTCTGGACCAGGTTCAGTTTTTTTTCTAGAAGTAAGGACTTGCCTACCTAACTGTAGAAAATAGTTTCGTTCTGAGCACTCTTCATATCCCAAGGCCAAGTAAAAGTGGCCTGATGAGAAATAGCTGAGCAGCATTAACGGGTGGCAAGCAGCTGTCACTAGAAGGGTGGGCCCCTTTTCCTTCCCGCTTCAAAGAAGCAGGCTTGGAAGTGCAGGTAGAAAACATGCCTCGGGCTGGTCAGGCTCCTTTCTGAAAACGGGTAAGGACTGCTTCCCGCAGCTACAGTGAATCCTCTAGCAGATCCTGATGTTAGCGTCGTCACCGCCTTGTGGCCATGGCGACAAAACGCACGCTCTGGCTTAACCCTGCTTTCATTTAGGATCCACAGCAGCCGACCAAAAATTGCCTGGGGAGAAATGCCTAGGCCGGCAGGGCCCAACCCAGCGTCCCCGTTCCTTAGATTTCTCTCCTGAGGCAGGCCTATTCCTCAAACTCCAACACAAGCATATGAGTGGGAGGGGGGCAGCCCTTAATAACTAGCAAGTAAATATTTCATAGCGAATCTCTCGTCATTTCCTCCCCAACATGGCCGAGAAAGCAGCTTCCTAACGCTGGAAAAGAGAAGCATTCTGGGAGGAGAGATGCGTTCTGGGAGCGACGCTGCATACTGGGATATGTAGTTCAAGGTGCCACCGCGCTCCAGGGGCCTTTTTAGGCCTCTGCAGCTGCAAAAACTGGACTTCCTAGAGCGGTTCTATTTCAACCGTCCAGAGGACAATAATATCCTAGGACACTAGTAGGCCCTACCATCCCCACAAGGAGAAATATAGTGCACGGGGGAGGGGGACATTGGAGACGATGCAGCCTCGCGAGAGCCGAGCCAGGAAGTCCCGCCTCAGACCCGGAAGGCGGTCTCAGACTGATGTGTTATTGGGCCGCTGTGTCGTGTGACAGGAACGACGGGCCTGGTTGGCTGCGCTACGGGGTGGGCGGGCTAGGTCGACAGTGGCTGCAGGTCTTTTAGACGAGGCTCCGAGACAGCGGCTTGCCGCGGCCTCGCCCTCCCTCCCCGCTGTAACCGAGTCCACGGGCTGCAGATGGGAGACCAGGACACCAACGATGCGGGCGGCCCGGGTCCAGGAGCCGGCGCGGGAGCTCTTCCGGGACGCCGCATTCCCCGCCTCGGAGTCCTCGCTGTTCTTCAATTTGTCCACGCCGCTGGCCCAGTTTCGGGAGGACATCACATGGAGGCGGCCCCAGGTGGGGCCGAGCGCGGGTCTCCTCGCCGAGCCGGGTGGGCAGGCGGGTATTCGGAATTCGAGGCCTGCAGCCAGGCCTTCAGGTGGGCTTCCGGGAACCCAGGCACCCCGCCCCCTCGCATAGCTCAAGTTTAGTTGCCTATCCTAAGGCTGCAGACCAGAGGGGCTCTTTCAGGAGATAGCTCGTTTCCCTGAGGTGTGCAGTTGAAGAATTTGTCCCGGATTATTTGTAGTAAAATATCCTAAGACCAAAGTAAGAACATTAATTAGTAGGAAATTGTTCTTTTATGCAGTGGAGGAGAATAATCCAAGACCTGATTCCTGGATTGACCCTGCCACATTAGTTTGGGCGCATATAAGTTCAGTGTATTGGGACCAATTCTTTTCATGGTCTTTGATTTTGCTGTAAATTTGTCCCAAAAGGACTCAACGTTTTGAGCGCTCACTAGAGATGACACAGAACAGAAGTTGGAATCATTATGGTTAACTGGACCATGTTGAAAAGTGGAGTGGCTGACCTTACACGTGGCCGGGGAGCTGAGTAGGCTGAACTGCATGTTAGAAAATAGGTAGAAAAGTTGGGATCACCAACAGTTTCCAGATCACGTGACTAATTAGACTCAGATGTATTGAATTGAGGATTTGTTTGATACAGAGGCTCAAGGCACTTAACAGGCACAAATCAGCCCCACTTGACTGCTCTGTGAAAAGTGTCTGCACCTGGCTTCCAGTCTGGCTCCCTCTTCTGGCCACAAGTAGTTCCGATGCATTGTTTTGTTCCTTGTGTGCGGTCTTCAATGCCGGTGAGGTTCCCCAGCTCTTCCTGTAGGCCAGGCTGAGCCTGCAAAGCTAAGCAGTGGTACAAGTTCAGTACCGAACCTTGTGTACCTGATTCATTGAAAATTTAAATGACAAAGAGATTCCCGGGCTTAGTGCTTTCTTGATATTTTTAGATGTGGTGTATTTGCAGAATGAGACCGCCCAGGGAGTGTGTTACGGTGTAGTCCTGGATGGCCACCCACCTTTAAAACAGCCAGAAGTGCTTGACTCTGGCAGCTGGGGGGGCTTTGTGAAGCTTCCTGGTTTCCCTGGACAACACTGCAGGGCCTGAAAGGAGGCATAGGGTAGAGCTTGAAAAGCCCTGTAGACCATGCCGTTGCCATTGGGTTTTATTTACTTAAAAATGAGTTTTAGGTGCAGTAAGAGTGCAGTCAGTTTTTGATAGAAAGCTGATTCTGTTGGAATTAATGTTTTAAAACTCTCACTTAGGGATCTGAGCAGAGAACGACAGCAATGACGTTAAATATTTGTAACTTTTTATTCAGTGAATATTCTTTAGTATTTTAACCTGTGAGTGCATCATCTACTTATAATAACAGTAGGAAACAAGGAAAGGACAGTGGGAGAGGAAGAAGCTCACACATGTTAGTAGGTGTCGAACAGGTGTGCAGGTGGCCCTTGCACTGGCCCTGGGGAAGGGCAATGGCTCTGGTCAGCATAACTGCTGTCGGGCTCGGCTTTGGAGGAGACTGGTCGGAGAACATCCTGAGGGGGTAACCGGCCTTAGTGCTGATAGGAAAAATGAAGATAAAGGTGGAATCAAGAGTGACACTTCCATCCATTGCCTAGTGCCAGCTGTGCCATGGTCCCAGGGTGGTGCCCTGTGCTTTGAAGTCAAATTTGCCCCCAACCCGTATGTTCAGGTAGACCTGTTAGGCAGGAAGAGCCAGGCTAGAGGCCTTTCTCTGGGCATTGGAGTCTTATCCTGAGAGAGCATCTCAGGGACGGAGGGTGGGTAGAGAGGGAGCTGGGGCTGATGCCGGAGGAGCCCTAAGGTGTGTGAGGCAAGCAGATTCCCTGACAGGTAGGCTTGAGAAACCACTACTAGTGAGAGGAGAGGACAGAAGGAACACGCAAATCATGGAAACTGAGATGCCCATTGGAATTGTGTGTGTGTGTGTGTGTGTGTGTGTGTGTGTGTGTGTGTGTGTGAGATGCTGATATGGATCCCAGGGCGGCATGCATGCCAGGCAAGTGCTCCACCACTAGGCCACATTCCCAGCCTTTTAAAGTTTTTATTTTGACACAGCTCTCACCAAGTTGCCTGGGCTAAGATTGAATGTGCAGCCCTCCTGCCTCAGCTTTCGTGGATCACAGGGGTGTGCTGCCGCACCTGGCTCCTGCTTGGTTTTATGCCATGGAGGAGACACTAGTGGAGCCTGCTTGAGGCCTGATGGATCCAAAGCTCAGGGGCCTATGTGGAGAGTGGAGGGAGGGCAGAAATGGGGGCAGTGGTTCTTCCGATAAGGTCATCAGCAAAGGGCAATTTAGAAGGGACGTGGTACCCGTTAGTGACGTCTTCAGCAGGTGAGAAGAGTCACTCTTCTGCCCTTATGCTGGGATCTGCTCTGGGTGTTATGGAGGAACCCAGTTCTAGGCCTAGTGAAGGTCTGGTCCAGGAGTTCCTGGTGGAGCAGGAGTCGAAGTTGGTAGCCCAGGGGAGCACAGTGTTCTGCGGGGATCCGGAAAGAGGAAAAGCTGAGATAGCTGCAGGGTATGGGAAACTGACCCTCAAAGAAGGACAGTGAGATTTCCAGCAGGCTCCACAGGACCCATTTGAGGTTTGCCATCCTGTATTTATAAAATGAGACTGTTTCAAGAGGAGGACACATTAGGCTTTGTCTAGAGATGGGGGCTTTGCCTCTAGGGGACCCCTGACTGGGCAGGTGGGGCTGAAGGGTACCAGCCTTGGAGGCCTGCTCCTTCCCCTCCTCCCTTGGGTTAGGAAGCTCAGGTGACCAGAAAGCTCCTCCCAGCTCATGGCCTGGGTTTCACATCCTTATCTTGCAGGTTAGTCATCGGGCCTGGTCTGATGCTGAGTGATTTTCTTTATCTCAGGAAATTTGTACGGCGCCCAGGCTGTTTCCAGATAACCAACGGGAAGGACAGGTGAAACAAGGGCTGCTGGGTGACTGCTGGTTCCTGTGTGCCTGCGCTGCCCTGCAGAAGAGTCGGCACCTCTTAGACCGGGTAAGGAGTAACCTTCGCCCAAGATACTGGGGTGGGGGGCTGCTTCTTTTACCTGTAGAGTATAGTCAGTGCTTTTTGCACTGAGGGTCTGGGACTGCTATAGCCGCACAGCCTGCTCAGTGTGAAGCTTGAGAACTCCAGGACAGCAGCTGAGACCCCCTGTCCTGCCTGTGGAGGGGCCTGTGAGAGGCTCTCTGCCCTGTTTGACTTTCCTATGAGCCTTGGCTTCTCCAAGTGCGCAGAGCCATGCATTTGGGAAAAATAGGCAAGCTCGCGAGGTGTCCCTGTTGCTGGTTTCACATGTGTCCTTAGCTACTTTTTGAGGTTGTTCTGTTTGCAAGTTTTAAATATAAGTAGGCAGAAGGTAGTTGAAACTGCTGATGCAGGCAGCCACTTCAGAGAGACGCCTCCATGCCTTCTCCCTCCCTAGCAGTGGCTGTTGTAGGTGTGACCTGTTGCAGGGTAGTCCCCTGCAGCACCTCTGCTGTGTCCTGGTCACTGCCTCACCTCACAGCCTTGCTAGCTGTGACCCTCTTTGCAAATGAGAATGCTGACCCTGTGGTTGTTATGTTCCCCGCTCTTGAGTGGTGGAGCCACCCCAAGTGACCCCTACTGGGTCAGAGTGAAACCCCCACAGGAATTCAGGTGGACACAGTGGCCCAGCAACTGACTGGTATGGGCAGCAGGCAGGGCTGCTAGACCATAGGATTCGCTGTTTGCAGCCAGCTCTATGGAGGATTGGGTGACTCCTGCCTTCCAAAGTCACCATGGTTTTGGTTTTGGGTCAAAAGGAAAAAAAAAGCTTTGGGAATCAAAGTGTGATATTAAAATACTTAAGTGAAATGCCTCTGAACTTTGGGTCCAGCTACTGCATTTGCTGTGAATCAGACAGTGAGAGCCTTTTGCACTCAACAGGGCCATGGAGTGCTTCCGTGGCTTTTCGGACTGTAAGTGACGTCTCACGCTCTCTTTCTGCCCCTTCCCTGTGCATGGTAGGTCTTCCCTCCAGGACAGCCAAGTTGGTCCGATCAGACGTACCGTGGCCTCTTCATCTGTCGGATCTGGCAGTTTGGACACTGGGAGGAGGTGACCATAGATGACCGTCTGCCTTGTCTTGCAGGGAGACTCTGCTTCTCCCGGTGCCAGAGAGAGGATGTGTTCTGGCTTCCCTTACTGGAAAAGGTCTATGCCAAGTACGTGTGCTGTGTGGTGGTGATGGAGCCAACCTGGGCAGTCTCTTGCCTTGGGCTGCCCTGACCCAGGGCCAGCTGCAATGCCACCTGTTCATCCTTGGACTGCGGCAGCCAGTCCTGAGGTGCAGATGCACCCCTCACCCCTTGCCCTCCCTCGTGTCACAGTCCAGCCCGAACATCAGCTCCATCAAAGAGGACACTCATGTCCTCCCTCACTTGATCCAGCCACCAGAAGACACTTCTGTGTCCATGTCCATAGACCTCTGGGACAGGCGGTCTGTGCCTACCTGGGGAGGTGGGAGCTCAGTGGGAACCCCCTCCTCGCTTCCTTGAGCTCCTACTGGGGACTCCAGAGCCATGGGTGCCCATGAGCTTGGGGGTGAGGGAGAGGGCTGTGCATAAAGAGCCTCTGCTCCCCTCTTGCCGTGCCTGCAGGCCACCCTGGAGACAGGCAGGCTGTTGAATGTGGCCTTTGCAGGGGAGGCTAAGTCTAGGTTGGTAAAGAACTTTATAGGGGACAGGGAGGGAACTTGAGGGCCCAGAAGCCAAGCTGGAGTAGGCACAGCTCACCATTTTGTGCTTGTGGCACTCCAGGGTACATGGGTCCTACGAACACCTGTGGGCAGGACAGGTGGCCGACGCTCTGGTGGACCTCACTGGGGGCCTGGCAGAAAGGTGGAACCTGAAGGACCTGGCCGGAACCAGTGGACGGCAGGACAGGCCTGTGAGCAGTCAGGAGCTCAGGACCTGTCGGCAGATGCTGCGCCTGAAAGACCGGTGTCTGATCAGCTGCTCAGTACTCAGCCCCAGAGCAGGTGAGGCGAGGCTGGGCCCGCACCTTGCCCTAGACTACCCACCACTCGATGTCTGGACAAAGGAGGGAGGAGGAAATCTGCCCTAGGCTGGGTGCTGGGGCTGTACCCTTCCTGTTTTGTTGTCCTTCACCTGAGGGCGCTGACCCTGCTGTCCTTTCTTAGAGGGAGGCAGGATGCATATACTGTGGTTGCTGTCACACAAGTGGCCTGGCAGCTGCTGGGCCTGAGACTGTTGAGATCTCTGTCCTGGCCGAGCTGGCAGAATCCAATCCCATGTTTCATTGTTGTGCAGTTCATAAACATCTGTGCAGAAAAGTTTGTTTACCAAAAAGAAAGGAAAAAAAATCACTCAACTGCATCCACTTTGGTTGTTTAGTGTATTTTCTCAGCTTTTTCATGAGGGCACGTGCGTTTTCCGTTTTCCTGTAAACTATCTCCTATGCAGTTATGTGAGCTTTGTTCATGCTTTATTTTGTGGGTTGAGCCACCTGAGTTTCCTTAGTCCTTCCTGTAATGTTAGATATTTAAAGTTTTGATAATTATAAATAATACTGCACTGAGGATTTTTATAAATTTTTTATAGTTAAGATTGTTTTCATAGTATCTTGGTGAAAAATGTGAACATCAAAATAAATGGGAACATGTTGGCTTTCACAGTGCCCTGCCAGTGTGTGTCACAGGCTGGCAAAGCTCTGGTGTGGGCTGTTACAGGCAGATTCTGCCACAGGAGGGGAGACCCACGGGGTGTATGTTCCCCACTGAGCCCTGATCATGCCTCCTGGCACACAGGGCCCCCTGTGTCTCTCCTGAGGAATGCAGAAAGTTGCCATTGAGCACCAGCTCCCAAAATTGTTGGTCCTGGGCCACTCCCATGCCCCTGTCCAGTCCCCACTGTGGTAATCAGGGCTGAGGATGTGGGGGACACCAGGCGTGGCTTCTGCATGAAACATCAAAGTCACCTCTGGGTTCCTACCCCTCTCTGGGCCCCCCTCCTTTGTCAAACCTGTGCTGTGGTGCATGCTGGCCCATGTCTACTTGTCTTGAAGTCTCTGGCCAGACCACACTGCCTCCCAGGTCCTAGTCCTCTGCCCCACCCAGCTCTACTTCAAAAGTCATTTAGTTCTTGGCAGTTGTAGGCACATCAGGGACAGCATTGGCCTGCGCCTGGACCCTGAACTGACATGGTGGCACCTGAGGCCTGAAAGAGAAGTGCCCAGCACAGTGCCAGGCCCCAGGGCAGAAATGAGGCCCTGGTCCTTGGCCTTTGGTATGGTGCAGTAGACTGACCCAGGATGCCACTAACCACCTGTACTTGGAAACGGAGCTGCCCCACTTGGGGACCAGTGGCCTCTGAGCCTCGCAGGGTGGGTTGGGTGTGTCCTGGGCAAGGAGACAGAAATCCACTGTCCTCTCAGTCTGCTTCATGCTGCTGTCCTTGTACAGGTGCCAGTGTGCTGGGGGAGTTCCACGCCTTCATTGTCTCTGACCTGCAGGAGCTTCAGGGTCGGGCCGGTCGGGCCATCCTCCTGCTGCGCATTCTGAACCCCTGGGGCCGGCAGTGCTGGCAGGGACTCTGGCGAGAAGGGTGAGTGCCCAGAGGCTGGGCATGGGTGAAGGATCCATCTGGACCCTGTGGGTGCCTGGGCTTCCGTATCCATCTGCCTATGCTGTGGTCACTTCTGGGTGCCTGGTTGTCGCAGCACTGCTCCCATTTGGGCCTTGGGCAGTCCTCAGAGGGCTGGAACTATGCACTCAAGGGGGCTCACAGAATGCTATGTGCCCCGCTGTGCTTTGGGGTGAGTGTGGACTTGGGGTGCTGCTGGATCCCTGTGAGGCCTGAGAACTCTACAGTTCTTGGTCTTTGCAGCCCCACAGAGCCCCAGCTCTTCAACATGAGCAACACAGTTGGGACAGGGCCTGTCGTGCAGGTGCCACTTGGAGCAGGGGGAGGTGGGCAGCAGATACACCAGTTTCTGGTCTCCTCTGCCCGTGTAGCTGTCAGATGCTGCCAGCTTTCGGAGAGGCTTTCAGTGCATGGCCCTGCACTGAGGTTCCTTGCAGGGGTGAAGGGTGGAGCCAGCTGGAGCCCACAGACAAGACCAGGCTCCTGTCCCAGCTCCAGGACGGGGAGTTCTGGGTGGAGGAGGAGGAGTTCCTCAGGGAGTTCGATGAGGTCACGATCAGCTACCCCTTCACGGAGGCCGGCCACCTGCAGAGCCTCTACACAGGTAGGCATCAGGTGGGCTCCACCTGCAAAGCTGGGAAACTGCTCAGGCCAATCGGCCACAGGGTGAGCCTGGCCCAGCCTTGGCTGTCCCGGGGCTCATGCATGTGCCCTTCTTCTAGAGAAGACACTGTGCCACGCACAGACCCTGCCTGGCGCCTGGGTCGAGGGGCAGTCAGCGGGAGGCTGCCGGAACAACAGCTGCTTTCCCTCCAACCCCAAGTTCTGGCTGTGGCTGTCGGAACCCAGTGAGGTGTGCGTGGCCGTCCTGCAGAGACCGCAGAGGTGCCTGGCAGGCCAGGCCCGGGTGCTGGGGGGTCACGGTCGTGCCCCTGCCTGTCCCCCAGACAAGGACTACCAGGCTGTGGGCCTACACATCTGGAAGGTAACTGCCCACTAGCCCTGCATCCATACCAGGGTAGTCTCATCCTGGTTGATGTCAGGCGCTCACCCTTGCAGCGCCCCACATAGCACCCCTGGGTCCAAGGTCTCAAACTCGTTTCCTGGAGTGTCATTGGCAGTCTGAGGCCATGGCTGGCAGGAGGCCACCCACAAGCCCCACTGGCTTCTCCCTGGACCATGAAGGTGGAGCCACTCTGGAGTGGAGCCCCTGTGACTTCAGAGGTCTCCCCACCTCTCCTAGCCCCATCCCCTGATCTTGGGAGGGCACTCTGAAGCTGGCCCTTGGCTCACAGTGTCAACTGTTCTTGGAAGAGCCAGTGGAGGTGCCAGAGCGGAGCAGGATCAGATGGCCAGGGCAGAGCTGCAATTACTGTGTATTGTATGTTATGGGGTGTGGTAACCCACACCTCTTTGTGCCTGGTCCTTTCAAGCCCATCCTTCCCATAACAGATGCTGGAAAATGCTTTGCTGGGCAGTTCCTGGGCTGCCCTGGCCCTGAGGTCAGCCGTCAGACACCCCTTTCCCGCAGACCTGGTGCCAGGGCTGTGGCCGCCTCTGAACCTCTGCCTCCCTCGGCAGGTGGAGAAGCGACGGGTCAGCCTGCCCAGGGTCCTATCTGCTCCACCAGTGGCTGGCACTGTGTGCCATGCCTATGATCGAGAGGTGCACCTGCGCTGTGAGCTGTCCCCAGGCCACTATCTGGCCGTTCCCAGCACCTTCCTGAAGGACGTATCAGCACAGTTCCTGCTTCGGGTCTTCTCCACTGGGAAAATGTCCCTCAGGTGAAGGGCCAGCAGGGAGGCAGAGCGGGGACCTTGGTGTGAGGCGAGATTTGTCTGTGCCAGCGCCCTCCTGTGCTTGTTCCTGTAGCAGTGCTGAGAGACCTGCGGCCAAGAGCACTGGCCCCAGAACAACCCTTCCTGCTGGGGAGGTGGAGACCGTGCAGTTGCGCGGCTGCTGGAAGGCTGGCCAGACTGCAGGGGGCAGCAGGAACTTCGCCTCCTATACCCGAAACCCCTGCCTCCCTTTCCTGGTCCCCGAGGGCGCTGGTCCCCGCCGAGTGCGCATCACCCTGCAGCAGCACTGCCAGCTTGGTGACAGCCAGCTTCACCCCATTGGCTTCCACGTCTTCCAGGCAGGCTCCGCAGCAGCAGGGCTGTGGGAGGTACTAGAGGCCAGAGGTCACAGGTGCTGGGTCCCATGACAACAGCGGTGTCCTGGGCTGGGGATCTGGAGGGACTTTCTGATGGAGATGGCTCTGTGCCTTTGGGAGCGTGGCCTGTGCATCCCAGAGCTGGGAGGAGACAGGATCTTGACCAGGCTGCCTGGCCAGGGAATTGGCACTGGTCCATCTGTGCTTGGGCGTGGCCTGACACCGTGATCACCTGACGGAGGCTACTTGGCCTTGTCAAGGAGCTGAGAACTGTGTTAGGGTCTGGGGTTCCCCTGAGATGTGGGTGGGCAGGCATCAGGACCATGGAACCCAGGCAGACCATGCCAGGCAGCTGTTGCCCAGAAGAAGAGCAGGCCATGCCACCCACCCCATATAGCTCCTCAGGCTGACCCACTCTTCCCCCAGGTCCCAGAGGGTGGCGAGAGTCAGGACATGAGGTCGCTGCTGCTCCAGGAGCCGCTGCTGAGCTGCGTGCCGCACCGCTATGCCCAGGAGGTGAGCCGGCTCTGCCTGCTGGCCGCTGGCACCTATAAGGTTGTGCCCTCTACCTACCTGCCTGATGCAGAAGGTGCCTTCACAGTTACCATCGCCACCAGAGTAGACAGGTACAGCCCAGGCCTGGGGCAGTCAGTGGGGGACCTCCCTGCCTCAGCGCTTCTCCCTTCCCCTTCGGCTCTCCCCATTCTGGGTACTCGGATATCCTGGTGGAGACCAGCAGTGGGCCCTGTGCCTTGGGGTCCTTGCAGGTTGCAGCCAAGGAGGGAGCATGGTGGGGGTGGCTGGAGGCATAGGCACTCTGCCCAGGACCGGCTGGGTGACCAGCACGCTGCTTCCCACAGGCGCTCCATCCACAGCCAGGAGGTGCTGGGCCACTTCCTCCAGGAGGTGCGTGTGCGGGCCCCACCTGCTTCCCCTGCTACTTCCCCATCCACCCTTCCTGTGGCCTGTGCCTGGCACGCATGTGCTGTGCTCTACCTTACGGCAGCCACGTGGCAGGGTTGAAGGGTGGCTTCTGGGAAGGCGCGTATGGCTGTGAACCAAGCCCTGGCTCTTCCCCTTCCCTCACAGGTCTCCGTTATGGCGGTGATGAAAGCCTGACGACGCCATGTGCCAGCCCGGTGGCCGGGGCAGCCATCTTAGGTCCCATGGCACTTGGTTCTGAGCCCAGCCCTCGGCTCTGTGGAGTGGCTAGTGACTGGGGCCAAGTGAGGGCCCTTCCTGCAGAGGTGTGACTCTGGGGTCAAGCAGGTACTACTCGAGGGCAAGGGCTCCAGGTAGCAGTACTGCCCGCTGCCCAAGACCAGCCAGACACAGAGCCCCTGGCCTGGTGCTCAAGGCTTCCAGAGCCTGCCCACCATGGCCTCCATTGCCTGCAGACAGAGGCTGTAACCGGGCAGGAACAGGTTGTGGCAGATACTGTTTTAAACTATTTATTACTTAAAATATTTCCAGGATGTGACTATAAATAAATTATGAGCAGTTTATGGAAAGGGCCTGTTCACCAGCCCTGAGGCTGAATCCACTCGGCAGATGTGGGAAGGGACAGTGGTGCAAAGATGGTGGGGCCAGCAGGGCTCCGGGATGGGAGGCCCCATGGGGCCTGTCAGACCTTGAGGGGGTGACAGAAGGCTGGGATGGTGAAGGCTGGCCATCGGGATAGACACCGGGTGGGCAGAGGACCCAGGTCTCCAGGCACATGGGCCTGCTGCAGCACCTATGAGTCCCTGGTCCCTGTCTCCCAGCCCGGTCCTGAGCTAAGGAGCCTTGTGGCAGCCTGGCTGGGTGGGAGGATGACACGAACTCCTCTCCAGCTTCTCTTCCTGCCATGTCCCTCAGTCACCATCCGGCTGATACTTTGAGCTGCAGTACCTGCTGTCCTCTGTGTGCCTGCAGCGAGAGAGGCTGGCCCTCTGCATCCTGGGCAGTGATTGCAGGCGGCAGGGCCTGGCCCAGGCTCTCCTGCTTGAGCCTTAAGCTGCTGCTTGCACCAGCACCAGCACCGCCTCACTGAGCCCAGCTCTCCTGAGTCCACTGGCTTCTGCCTGGCCGGAGTCCCTGCATGCTTGGTGCTGACCTGTCATAGGCTGTGCTGTGCTGATGGATCTGGTGTCACACCTGAAGCGACCAGGGACACATTTGGAGCCTGTGATGGTACCTGGATGTCCTTCAGGACACATGAGGCCTTGGGTCTCAGGCTTCTGGGGCCACATTGTCTACTCCTAGGACAAGGGCTCAGACCAGTGGTATGGAGCTCACTGGGCACAGATGAGGTGACTGGAGGGTTGTTGCAAGTACCCTGGAAGGCTGGACACAGTGGAGCAGGTCCTTGTGTGGCTGGGCTGAGCTGCCCCAGGAGGAAGCTTGGGTCATATGGATAGGGTTAGGAGTGATGGCTGGCGAACATCTACTTGTCTCTCCTCCTGGGGTGTGGCCGGTGGAGAGGCCTCAGTACCTGAAGCTCTGGTCACTTGCAGTCCTTCCTTGAAGGCTAGCCCCTTTCCATCAGTGGCTCAGGTGCTATGTGGTCCACAGTAGCTGTACTCTGTTGGTACAGCTACTCCCATGCCTCCAGCCTGCCTGGTGCCTTTTGGTCCCCCAACTCCTGGGATGCCTGTTGTAGTCAGGGTTTACAAGGAGAACAGTTACATACAGGACACAGAATTTATAAATGCAAGTTAAATGCAAGAAGGTGCAGAAAATCCACAGCACTAGAGATCTAGGAAATTCAGCTGAGGGCCTAACTCCCAAGTCCAACTGGAGGCCCAGAACGTGTGACTCACACCAGTCTGTTTTGCGTATCTGCTGGGAAAGCCCAAAGGTCAGGGTGGAAGCTAGAAAGTCTGTGCCAGTAAGTTGAGGGTTCTATGCTGGAGCCAAGAAGTGACACTGCAGGACCAGGGCTGCCCTAAAAAGTACCTTAGCCCCCTGAGCAACATTGAGATCCAGAGCTCCTCCAGCAGTGAGAACAGTTGAGTACATGCAAGGAAGCTAGCATGACAAGCTTCTGGAGATTAAACAGCACACATCTTCCCCTCTAGAACCAGGAAGTGATCAAAGGACCAGAACTCCCCCCAAAGTGAACCTCAGCCACTCTTAGTGACAAGATCCTGAGCTCCTTCGGTGTTAATGGCTAAATTCATATTGGGGAAGCCAGCATGATGAGCTTCTCCAGGAGGACCCACAGCTCCAAACAGCAACACTTAGGAGAACCCACAACACCCCACTGTTCTCCATATCTGTGTTTATGCTGGCATCTTTTCTCTGCCCACTGGGGCTCAGCACCATGCTGATTTGATTCAGCTGGTGTTAAGCTGACCAATTTTTAATCAACAGTGCTCTTTTGGGTCCCCAGCCTTGTCACTGTAGCTGATTCTGGCTTCTGGTGGGCAGAGGCCACCCCTGGCCTCTGCTCTTCAGGGGTCTGGACCCTACCACCCTGACTGTACTAATTCCTGCCATGGTGGTGCCCACTGTCAGCCAGCCTGCAGGACAGCCAGCACTCCTTGAGAGCTGGTGGCGTGACCAGGACTTACTATGAAGGTCACGTACAGCTGTTCTCTGCACCCCCAGCCTTCTGAGCCCTGGCCAGCAGCCCCTTGCTGCCACAAAGGCAGCTTGCTCATGACCGTCATCTGACCTATGTGTCTGAACCTCCAGCAAATTCCTGTCCCTGGCACATTTCAGCTCAATTTGGGAACAAATTAGCCATGGTCTGGACAGGAGCCCATGCCAGTCCACACCAGTGCAAGTCATTGCCAGCAGGCAGTAGGTGGCTCAGACCCAAAACTTTGCTAGAAGCACATGCTGGATCAGTAGGGGCAAGATACCTGGTCAGGAAGGAGGATGTGGGGTCCCCAACTACCCTGGGAGGGGCTATGGGGAGTGCATGGCCCACTGAGGGCTCCATGGAACTGAGGAGCCTGGGCCTAGGGCTTGGTTCTTACCCACTCCTCTATCTTGGCAGCATCTTCAACAACCACCCAGAACAGCTATAGCTGGTCAGGTACAGGCCTTGTGGCTGACACCTGGGCACTCTGGCTGTGCCCTCTGGCTCTTGCAAGATGAGCAGGTGTCCGCTGCAGGTGGCCCTGGGTGATGTTTCCCTCCCAGTATGCACCAGGGTGGAGGTGTACAGACCTGCAGCGGGCTGGAGACCCTGGGCAAGCCCCAGGCTTGCTGTGCCCCACCAGAGACACCACCAGCCCTGTTCCTACTGCATGAAGACCACATCCTCTCTTCCTGGGCCAGCAGGTGGTGCACTTGAGCTGTAGGCCCTAGTTTGCCTCCCCTGGGTAGGCCCAGCACTATCTGCTGGAAGCCTGCTTCTTTTCATGAAGGAGAAAGCAAAAGCATTTCCTCTCCTGGACCCCTAGCTCCATCTAGCTACTGTGCACACCAGGTGGCTTGTAAATTGGCGTAAGCTCAGCTTATCATAAGCTCAGCTTTGGGGCCTGGGCAGCTGGTGGCCTGACATCCTGTGTTCCTGCTGTGTCCTCCCATGGGATAGGGAATGACGGAGCTCTCCAGGATTCCTTCCTGCACTTCTGTCCTCTGACAGCCTGCAGGATCCCTAATAGCCTGCATCACTCTTCTACCCCAGGGCTGCTCTGGACCTTCCCCTGGGAAGGTGGCTTCCTGAGGAGGTTGGCTGTCTCCAAGCCCCTGTACCAGGCAAGGCGCTTGGAACTCTGCAGAACCCTGGAAGGCAGCCTGGCCTTTGTGGTGTTGGGACTGTTTCCAGAACCCAGCCCAGACAGGTTTCCCGGTGACAGCGGCCCTGTCGAGCACTGCAGTGGCGGGAAGTGACAGGGTGGCCAGGCAGGGCAGATCCAGCCTGGCAGGTTGGGTGTGTGTGGGAACACCTGTTTCCCGTCTTCCAGAGACTTTGACCTGCTCCACTGCTCCTACTAGGTGCTACTTCCTGCTTCGTGGAGCTTCGTTCTCCCAGCCTGGTCCATTCCTGCCCCTCTATCCCAGGCCAAGTTCAGCCTTAAAGGCACAGAGCTTCTAGGGTGAGTGTCTCCATCCTGTACCCTGAAAGCAGGAGGTCCCAGGGGGAGGCCAGGGCTGGGCATCGTGGGCAGGAGGTGGGACAGGCAGCAGTGCACAGGCCAGCCGGGTACGGGGATTTTTGATTCTCCACTTATCACTTGCCCAGTGTCCCGCAGTGCCTCATTGGTTTGCAGGAGGTTAACCCTCTGGAAAGCGAGCTGCCAGGGATGGAGTAGACAGCAGGCCCAGTGCCCTGGGGGCTCCCAGGGCTGGGAAGGTTCATACTGTGCGCAGGTGACTTTGCCTCATCGTCACCTTCCAGACCCAGTGGGGACCCTGAGCATGCGGGACCCTCTGGTTCCCCCATCTCACTTCCTACCCTCCCTTAACTGTGAAGACCCTCAGAGCACGTGTGCCACAGCAAGCACACTGTCTGGAGCTGTGGAAGTGGCTGAGACACCTGGTACCCTTGCGGTGGCCGCAGGATGGTCCGCTCACAGGTAATCCAGAGACCACAGGGGACAGGCAGGGAGGAGCAAGTGGGGCTGGGCACCCTGAGCACATACAGAGACATTGGAGGTGCAAGGCGTGGGTCAGTGTGGCCAGAGCCGAGATTGGCCATGCACAGCAGGTGGTGGAGCAGGAGGAGCAGCTTGGACCTACTAAGGGGAGTAGTGAGGACCAGCACTGGGAAGTCAGGTGGCAGGAGGCAGAGGGCACCCCACTTTCCACTTCTTCCTCGGTCTCAGCAGTGTTTCACAACTGTGAGAGCACACTGTACTCTTTCTGCTTTCCCAATGCTTGTAAATGCTGTTGTATTTTTAGTTTTATTGTCCAGGGATTTGTTGCTAGTGCATAAAATGCATTGTTTGGTCTGTCATCTAGTATCTTTTTCTTTTTTTTTCTTTAATTTTATTTAAGGAGGAAAAAAAAGCAGAGAAAGGGTACAAGTTATACAGATTTACAGAAAAAAATAAACAGTAGGAAATCACTAGTTAATGGATTACATATTGTCATCTTAGAAATAATTGTTCAAGTCACAAAGTTAAAGCCTGTAAAGTGGACATTCCAACAGTGAGACTGCAAACAGTTCTGTTCAATGATCCAATAAAACTCAGTGATATCATTTTCTATCTTATACACTTAAACATACATGCAGTTATATCATTTAGAGCACTTTCTTTTCCTCTCTTTTGTACAATGACAATTACACATTTTGGGTTTTGTTACTCCCACAGTTCTTATTACTTTTTTGGAAGGGAGTAAAACCAAATGTGACAGAACATAGTCAATCAAATCAAAAGGGTGGACATAATAGATAATGTAAAAGCATAATACAAGGTGATCAATAATGGTTACCATAATGCCTCCTGCTATCTCTAATAGAATTGCCTATATCATCAGTTATAATAAAATTGAACAAAACAGTAAAGAACAAAACCGACAAAACCAAAACATTGGAGACATTGTAGGTCTTCAAAAGTAGATAAAA